GCGCACCACCGGCAGGATGCTGCAGGGCACACGGAGGGGGAGTGGGGCCCGGTGGGGGTGGGGGTGGCGGCGCCGGGGGCGGGTCCCGAAGGCTAGGGCGCGATTGGGGCAGGCACGTTGAGGCGGTGCCAGGTCCCAACCCTGCAGTGCCTCCCTGCCTCCCTCCTCCCGGGCCGCCGCTCTGCATGGCCCCACACCCCATCCCATGCACACACAACCCCACCGCCGCCGCTGCCGCCGCGGCCGCGCGTCACCTGGCGGTGTGCAGGGAGAAGAAGGTGCAGGGCAGCTCCAGCAGCAGCTCCCGCAGCTGCAGCTCGGGGAAAGCGGCGGCCAGGCGGGCCAGGTGCGCCTCCGCCGCCCCCCGCACCTGCACCGCGCGCCACGCCCCAACAGCAGCAACACCAACGGCGGTGGACACGATGCAGCAGTGTAGCGCTCAAGCGCTCAGGCATGGCGGGGCACCAGACGGCTCCCCAACACGCCCTCACATCGACGCACGCACGCACCACACAATGCAACACACAAGCGCGCGCGCACGCCACGCCAGCGGCGCCACGCCCGCGGCGCCGCGCGGCCCCACCTGCGCCACCAGCTGGCTCAGCTCCATGCCCGCCATGTAGATGCCGTGCAGGCGCACCACCGCCCGCGGGTCCAGCCCCGGCACGGGCGTGAGGATGAAGGCGCCAGAGGGGAACATGAGGTCTGGGAAGGGAAGCAGGGTGCGGGGCTGCGGGCAGGGGGGACGCGCGCATGTGCATGTGCTGGGTGTTGGGTGAGAGAGGGTGGGCCGGCAGCGGCAGGGCGGGCAGTGGCGGGGAACGCACGGCGCGCGGGGCGACACCCACGCACACGCTGCGCGGGGGCAGGCGGCGCGGTGCCTCTGCGATGCCGGCCAGCCGGCGGCGGGCAGCAGGCCTGCCGCGTGGCCTGGGCCCGCCCACCCGCCACCCAACCGACGCGGCACCCGCCCCGCACGCCGCCGGCCGCCCCGGCCCAGCGCCCACCTCGTGCACCGCCACCCCCTGGTGCGCCCAGGTGCGCTGCAGCCGCTCCACGTCCAGCAGGCAGCTGGCCCTGGCTGGGAACCACTGCATCTGGTTCTGCTCCTGATGCACCGAGAACTTGTGGCCAAACGAGTCGCGGACAGCGGCGGGCGGCAGGTGGACGTCCGACACGCCCAGCGCGGCTGCCAGGGTGAAGGCAGCGATGTGGCTGTACTGCTGGTTGACCAGCCCCGTGCAGGCCGTGTACCGCAGCTGCAGCCGGTAGCGGCGGCCGCCCAGGACGAGGCCACGGCCGCCCGGCGGGCGCACCGCGGCGGTGGCGGCGGCGGTGAAGCCGGCGCCGGCGCGCCGCCCAAGCGCCTCGCCCTGCTGCCCCAGGCTGGAGGCCGCCGCCGCGCCACACAGCAGCAACAGCCGCGCCAGAAGGCTGGCCAGTAGGCGGCTGCGGGGCGTGCAGCTGTGCCACGCGCTACTGACCCTCACCATTGGCGAGCACTGCCTGTCGTGTGTGCCGCTGCTATTGCTGATGGGGTACGGGCCATGGATCGGGCTCTGTAGAGGCGGGGCACCAGGGGACAGACGCTTTGCAGCGCGTGACGGTCCTTGCCTGGCGGCCACCAAGCTTCTTAAATCAAAACAACGATGATGAGCCCTGGTTCTTCGAATGGTTGCTTTTGTACTGCCGTCAACACGAGCGCGCTGCCGACTACGACAGCTGCCGCAAGCTTGCTATGGGCCCCACAGGCTTCCATGCAAAAGCATCAATTCCCTAATCCGTTTCTGAATTCAGACACACCAATATGCTGCTTTTGATCCAGAAAAGATGCAGGCTTGCGCTGCCGTTGCTGCCATTATGCCGCCGCCGTCCCGCCGCCGCCGCCACAGCCCACCATGGCCTCCAGCGCCTGCTGCGCCTCCGCCGCAAGCTCTTCCTTCCCGCACGCCTCCAGCACCTGAGGGGCAAGCGGCAGGTACGGGCACCAGAAGAGCCTGGAAAATGGCCGGCCCAAGCATCCCGCGGCATGCTCAGGCCCACACACGGCACGTTGTGCGCGTGGCGCAGCGCGTACGGTGCACCCCATGCCCGCACCAAGCAACAACTTCTGCACCCTCCCCGCCACACCTTGATGAACGAGTGCAGCTTGTCTGCCCGCCGGATCTTCCAGATGCGCGTCTGCAGCGCCCGGTCGCTCATGCTGCGGCAGTCGGAGAGGCGGGTGGTACAGGGGTGGTGGGAGGCAAGGCATTCTGGCATGGTGGCAGCCCTCCCTCGCACTGCGGCGTGTGAGCAGGTTGCGCCTGACATCCCACAGCAGGACACACAATCCGTCCCTCCAGCTCTCTGGCCCCACCTGCGGACCCTCATCACGTTGTGCGCATGAAGCTCCTGGCTGCCGCCGCCCTCCAGCGCCGCCAAGTCCACCTGCACCGGCTGCCACACGCGGGCGCACCGCGGCTGCTCCCTGCAGCGACGGCGCAGGTGCAGGTGTGTCCGGTAGGAGATAGTACCGCGCCACAAGTGGCAGCCCCAGGTGGTTTCCAGTCAAGGGTGCCGAGGTGTGCAACGGCCGGGTGGGTTCACCCGCACCTCTCGCTGGGCCGGGCCCCCCAGTTTGCGCCTGCATTCTCCGCGCCCTCGCCCTGCAGCCGCCGCGATCGCCGAGGCGGCTCTGCAGCAACCTGCTGCTCGCCTGCTGGTGCTGCTGGCGCCGCCTGCCGCCACTGCCGTGCCGCCCGTCGCTGCTCGGCGGCCTGAGACCTCTGCTGCTCTGCAGCGCCGCTCATGGGGTTTTCAAGCAGGCCCAGCTGCTGCAGCACAGCCTCGTTGCGGAGCATGCGCCGTCTGCGGGCCTCCTCATACTCGTTGGGCTCCGTGGCGGACATGGCTTTCGAAACGGGAGAGAACGAGAGGATGACCGCATGAGATCCCCACTCGCAAAACAGGCGTACCGCCCGCAGGGCTGTTGGCGTTGTTGGACAAACGCCTGCCTCCATAAATGGAGGCAAATTTGTGGGCCATGCCATGCCAGTGGCGACGGCCTGGACAACCTAATTAATGTCCACAGTTAATGCAATTAAATGGACTAACTGAAATTGACACCCACTGTGTGCTGTGCTGCGGCAGCGGTTTGCCATGGCAGGACTGGCCAGTCCTGCCATATGAGCGCCATGCGCATGGCGCTCATGTTCAAACCCTATGATAGGCCGATACAAAGTCGACGGATAAACAAAGGTTCAGCTGAGACGAGCTCTTACTCGCATTGGATAGGCCCCGTGGCAAAGTTGCTTGCAACGTCACAAGCCGGGTCAACGTCTTTCGGAGGATGCCTTTGCCGAATGCATGCATGGCAACAGGCCTGTTGCCACCCTAGGGTGGCTGGAGAGGGCCGGACTATCTCTTCTGATCAGATGCACTGAGAGTGTTCGGCTAGTATGATGGTGTAAAGGACAGGCAAACAGAAAGGTGTTGCGACGGGGACATAAGAGACACCATTGGTATGGATATGGAGAGCCCCATTAGACAGGCTGAGAATAGTGAAGGTGCAGCCCAAAATGGTAACGCAGAACATCTTTCTTTCTTTCGTCCTTCTTCAGAACATTGATGCCCATGTCCCAGTCCCAGCTTCGCCATAATCCCCAAGAAAGTGCGTGCACATCAGCTGCATGACCAAGGATTGGGGGCCCAGCCGACAACCAGGAAAAACACAATAGGTCAGTCACAAGTGCAACAGCAAACATGTGGCCGTGGAGCAAGCAGAAAAGACAAAACATCCCCAATCCATCATTAAAGCATGTCACAAAGCTTGGCCACCCTGCGCCTGCAGCTAGCGGGTGATTCCCAGGCTGCGGGTGCAGGGCCCTGCCCCGCCGAGGGGCTGGGGCCGAACCCGTGCGGTCCGGAGTACCGCTTTGTCCCCTCGCTGCTCCCGGCATTTGTGGATGCACTGCGGGGGGCGAGACCCGCACTTGAGGCAGCGGCGACCGCCGCCGCTGCCGCCACCTCCATCGAGCAGCTCACTGCAGCATGCATGAGCTTTGATGGGGTAGTGACCAGCTCCCTAGATACCGCTGGTATGCCAGTCCGGCAGGCGGGCCCTGCCCGACCGCCAGGCTGGCAGCGACAGGCATGCAAGGACCCGCTCACTTCCCGTCTCCGCCGGAGGAGACGGCGGGCCCTGAGCCGTCGTGACTTCACCCTGGCTGTTGCACTCAACCGCCAGATGTGTGCCGCCGCCCGGCGGCACAAGCGCCAGGTGAAGCGCAAGAGGGGTCGTGACCTGGCACGGCTCGAATTCGATGCCCCGGCTGCCTTCCACAGGCTGCTCAAGGGCAAGGGGGAGGGCGCGGACCCCTCCATCACGGCCGGTGATTGGAACGGCCACTTCCGGTCACTATTGGGCTACACACACGTGGCTGCCGCGGGCAGGCCCGCCCCTGCCGCCGCCGCGGGCGCGGCGCAGGCGGCGGGCGCCGTGGCAGGCCGTGCTCATGCCTCAC